TCCTGAGTCTAAAAGCCCCAGGAAATCTTATGCCTCTGGCAAATAGTATTAGCATTTCTTGGGTCAAAATTGACATGAAATGTTGATTAATTCGAAGATTTCCTGAAGTATGAAGAATTGAATTGTGTTAACATTTCCTGAAATTGGAAAATGTGCATGCATTCAGAGTTTTCACAAGATTTCCAGAGGCCAGAAATGTTGGTAAAATTATATGCATTTACCTAACTTTCTAAAAACACAAATGTACAGAAAATAATGGGTTTGTTCAAGATTTCCTGGCTGAGATTATCATGGGGAACCATCAAATCACTTTAAAATTTCCTGAAATACAAACAGCACAGAAATTTTGGATTTGTTCAAGATTTCCTGATTGACATTACCCCTGAGGAAATACTGAATTATGTTAGAGTTTCCTGAGCACACAAACATTGAAAAACTCCAGATTTAGCTAGGATTTATTAATGAACAAACACTAAAGAAATATTGAATACTATCAAGATTTCCTGAGCAAGATTACTGTCACAAAATCATCATTTCCCCAAAATTTCTTAGATATGGAAATTTAAGAATGGGGAAATTTTGAGAAACTGATGATATTCTGACAGTAATATTGCTCAGGAAATCTTGATATTATTCAACATTTCCTCAGTGTTTGTGTGTCAGGAAATCTTAACTAAATTCAGAGTTTCTCCAATGTTTGTGTGCTCAGAAATTCAAATGTAATTCAGCATTTCCTCAGGGTAATGTTGACCAGGAAATCATGGACAAATCCAAAATTTCTGTGCTGTTTATATATTCAGGAAATTCTAAAGTGATTTGATGTTTCTCCATGATAATCTCAGTCAGGAAATCTTGAACAAACCCATTATTTTCTGTACATTTGTGTATTTAGAAAGCTAAGTAAATACATTTAATTTTACCAACATTTCTGACCTCAGGAAATCTTGTGAAAACTCTGAATGCATGCAACTTTTCCAATTTCAGGAAATGCTAACACAATTCAATTTGTATGCTTCAGGAAATCTTCAAATTAATTAACATCTCCTCTCAATTTTTGTCCCAAGAAATGCTAATACTATTTGCCAAAGGCATAAGATTTCCAGGGACTTTTAGACTCAGGAAATTTTATGATGTCTCCAGTGTGGAGACCAGTATCGGAAACGAAGATGAGGTTCTTACAAGAAAACTATTTGAAGATGATCAGGATCTAGCCTTGGGATTGCTTGGGGATGGAGTTCAAGTTTTCAAGAAATTGAAAGATGAACAACCAAGTGCCTGGGCATTTATTCTATGTTGCTATAACTTGGACCCCACCATACGGAGCCTCATCAAGTATGTAATTCCATTGCTGGTTGTTCCAGGTCTACATTCTCCAAAGGACCAGAACTCCTTCCTTATTCCACTCAAATGAGAACTAATGCAACTCGCATGTGATATATCATCTTATGATGCCCTCAAGAAAGAAATGTTCTTACTCCATGCCTTTCTTGTGACGAAGGTCGGCGATATGCAAGCACTCAAGGCCAATCAATATCTTGAGGGACTGAATGCATTTTCTCCCAAGTCTCTTACAACCTCCTACAATGTTGCTACGGTCAGCTGCAAAAGATCCTTGTGTGCAAGTTTCCTGACCACCGCTTCTTTGAAAACATGCCAAAAAGAAGATTATTCGCTCTAGTACAGTCCTGCGAAACCAATTACCAAGATGCGACAATGGCACCAGTGACCTATACGCACATGGAAAGCGCCAGCAGAATTATTGACCTGCAGTGTATATCGTGTGTCATAGGTCGAGTAAGAGTAGGAGTAGGAAGGGGCCAATGGGGAATAATAGATAGAAGCGTAGATATTGCCAGGGCACTCCTCATTGGTGATCCAGAGTTGATAGACAAGATGTATGAAGAACAAGACTAATATTATGTGATAGAATTGTATTAATTACACTAGGTTGCTGGAAAATAAATGGGTTGCCCGGTCACTATCATTGGAACAGCCATCTAAATTCCCATGGAGAATCCGTTTAAATTCCATTGGAACACCCATTTAAATTCACTGGGTATATCCTTCTTTCTAAGAAAATTCACACAGTGACTATGTCAGCGGGAAATTCAGCGGGTTGATATTCACTGGGTAGCCTAGTGGCCTGGTGGCGTTCAGCAGGTAGCTCAGTGAATTTCACTGGGTCTTTTTCCCGCAGTGTAGCCTCTCTATCTTGAGGCTAGATCTCCCAGAAGCATTATCCTTGTAGCACGTGAGTTGAAGCTGTAGTTTCCGCGATTTTATCATTGCTATCGGGGACTACCATAGTTGTGTCTTTCCCGCCCGCAAGGATCAGGACAGTTAGTGTCGGAGTACTGTCTGTCACCGGGGCGACCGAGCTCTCATCCACACATAATAGGAGACACTGGCCACCTGCGTCGTACCTTTGGAGAAGAGAGAGGGAGGAGGTGACGGGGTTGGGGATAGGCTTAGGGCTTAAGCATGAGAGGAGAGTCTCATTGGAGGTGCACAAGAGGATAGGATTTTCCTTTCATATGGTCTTTAAGGGAGCTGGAGCATTATGTTGGATTACTTCAAGGTCTTTCTGATGATTGAGCGTCATGCACATCTAATTGCTTTGCAGCTGCCGTTCTCTAGCAGACATGCAACACCCAAACTGGGTCAAGGATGGGGTAATTATGGGGAAGGAAAATTGGAAAATTGGGCATGTTGTACGCAATAGTCTTACATGGGGCACGGCCCTGAATAGATGCTAATGGATCAAAAAAAAAAAAAAAAAAAAACATAATGCATCAGTAAGCTGAGTTGGTGATCCCACACGTCCCGGACAGCACTGATCCGGTCTGGGAACGCCCTGGAGTCCCACAAGTCCCAGATGATCCTGCAAAGTCCCAAATCACCATAAAGAACTATTCTACTTAGCTGGCTTGGATTCATGCCTAGGAATGATAGTTATACACAGTAAAGTCATACTACTCATTTGTTCTGGTTCATGCCTTGCTTTGAACCTCATATATGTGCAATGAATAGATTACCACTAGAAATAAGTAAGTAATTCAAGATGTTTCTTGCTGTGTCATTACATTAGGTCTCAAGCTTTGTTTATTATTTAATTGTGTGACTGTTTTGCTCGCTGTAAAAATCCCATATATATGTATCTCAGGCTCATCCAACACACCGAGAAGACTATCCATCCGCTTAGAGATCTCAACCTCCTCTTATTTGCAGGCCTCTACTCTTCGTGAGGATCATACCGAGTCCCAGTCTAATAGGGTAAGTGGATATTATCTCCACAAGTAGTTCTAATATTTAAGAATTCAAATGAAGCTTATTTATTCAGATGATGACGAGACTGGCGGACAACTATCCTAAGCGTCCGACAATTCAGGTTATAACAGGCGATTCGAAGTAAAGAAATTCAAATTCATTATACAAACAACGTCATCTTAAGGTACAATTTTACAAGCAGAGAGAAGCGTGAAAAACTTCCAGAATCAGATAGCTAGTAAGTCCAGTTCCTGGGCCGTGGGATATTTCATAATACATGCTGCATGAGGCGGTTACAAGGGTAATGAGACCCTAGAAAGAAAGAGTCGACTATAATACAAATCTAATAAGGAGAAGGTTAGTTCAATGAAAGAACATGCCTTTAAAAGAATGAAGACTTACGATGAGAAAATCAAACTTGAGAGGCCGATTTATTTTTATTTTTGTATGCTTTAAATCCAAGCAGAATCTTCAATGTCTACGACTTCAGACTAAGAAGGAAAGAATACTAGATACGGCGCAGAAATAAAGCATGGTCCGGGGAATATTTACCTTATCGATGATCGGAAAGCTCTTCTCAGGCTTAGGGAAATAGGAGCGAACGACCTTGGTAATAGCGCGGGTGACGGTGGTGGAGGACATGTTTTTGACACGGAAGAGGATTGTTCGATAAAGAAGTGTGAGTGATGGATGCGATGGAATGAAGAGACAAGGGATTGCTGAAAAGAGTACAACCCACAACTTCCGTTTTTATAGCTAAAAAGATCTCCGCTCCGAGTTGAATTAGGTGATGTCGTCTGTCTTATCCATCCTTAAATCTGATTGGTGCCGCACTGTGACCTCCGACCAATAGATGGCGGGGCGTATCGGTGTGTAATGCTGTCCGCCGTTCGCGTTCTCCGCACCATCCCCGCCCGGTTGCTGTGCGGTTAATTAGCACATTCCTCCCAGCTGCATCTTCTACCTTCCAGGGCTTTCTCCCAACCGACCATTGCTAGGCATAATCCCCGACTAGAAGCCAGGAGGAGCTGTCGATGTACGTCTATCTACTAATCGGCCTCGGGATGCACACAGTCTCACGCCGTTTCGGACCTTTATTCAATTTTCCCTCGTACGACGCGTAAGCCTGGCACCTGGCAGAAGGACTCTAAGTATGACTCTCCTAGTCATTTGCAAGAACGTCTCTCGTAATCCTGGCATAAGGACTCTAGTCATTTGATCTGGGACGTCAGGTCACAGCTACCCTTGGACAATCACAGAGTCGATGCGTATCTCTGATTCAAGTTTATTTCGAGCTATACTTACTCATGCTCAGTATTATTATTGACCGGAAGTTTGCACCATCTTTACAACATTTCCGAGATACAATATATCATATGGACAATGCCTATTCTGATTCAAGTTTATTTCGGGCTATAGTGTTATTATTGGCCGTACGTCTGTATCATCTTGACGACGTTTCCGAGATATAACAGAACAAAAAATACCATTGGGATCGACACTGTCAAAAGTGTCAATACGGGCGTCACCCTCTGTCCCGTTTTCCCAATGGATTTTCTCGTATTATTAATCGTATGTACTAAGGATGAATTCATGAACGGATTGTAATCCATATCCATATCCATTAATCTCAAAATTCCGCCAATATTCTCCGAGTCCGTCATTCTGTCAAAGCTGCAGGAGAAAGGACTGTATCGATGGATCACGACACCGAGGAATAAGCTGGCGTGAATGCACTAATGGGGTAGTGGTAACCTTAGTCGTTCCCATCAACTAGCGTCGAGTTCGATTTTACTTAGTGCAGCTTTTGTTTTTCTTTCGCAGCTGAGGGTGTAACAACAATGCAGTGTTCAGCGGGTGAGGCTATAGTGTATTATTTCGCTGCCGGTGATACAGTACAGTACATCGAGTGTACTTTTTCGAAATCCAACGATGGGTACGTGTCCCGCGGAATATTTTATTTAGGAGTTTCGGTTTAGCAGCTTAGCCGAATTCGTTGAAAACAGACTGAGAGAAAGTCGGTTTTTCACAGATCTATTAAGCTTGAAGAATATATCACACAGTTAGGCTTCGTTGCAGAATGTCAAGACTGTTATACAAACAACGGCATCATAAGGTACAGGTACAAGTACAAGAAGCAAAGAGGATCGTGAAAAGTCCAGAGAGCTAAGTCCAGTTCCGTGTGGTATTTAATAATACATAATGCGTGGTTACAGTGATGATGTCGCGATGAGAATGGCACCCGAAGAAACGATTTAAGTAGAGTACAGATCTAATAATGAGAGAAAATTAGTTCAGAGAACATCTCTTTGAAAGAATGGAGACTTACGATGAACGAAGGTCAAATTTATTTTTAGGTTCTCATGTGTTTAGATCCAAGCAGAGTCTTCGATGTCTAGAACTTCAGCCTTAAGAAGGAATATTAATTTTAACTTTTCGTATAGCATAGGAATATTTACCTTTTCAGCGATTGGGAAGCTCTTCTTCGGGAAATAGGAGCGAACCATCTTGGTTACGGCGCGGGTGACGGTGGTGGAAGACATGTTTAATGTAAGGGTGTTTCGAGTCGAGAAGTGTGGGTGGAGGGTGTGATAGAATGTAATGGAACCACGAGGCAGAAATTGCTGAAGAAAGGACCGCACACGAATTCGGTTTTTATATGAAAACCGAATGAGGTCAGCTCGTCTGTCAAACTTGGATTGGTGCAGAACTTCCGACCAATAGGTGGCCACTCAGTTGTGGCTCGCGTATGTCTAATACTGTCCGCTTTCCCCGTGCTTTCCCCGTGCGAGGCTGCTGTGCATTAATTAATCTCTGCGGTCTTCTTCGAGCAGCTTCACTCTTCCAGGACCTTCACTCATCCGATCTTTGTCAGGTATAATTCCGGAATAGACATTATTCCTTCAACCCGGACAATACCAGTAATTCTGCCTACGAATTGGCCTCGAGATGCTCGCACGCCACTCCGAACCTTTAGTCAGTAATGGTCAATTTTCCCTGCGTACGACCTGACAATCCTGGCACATGGCCTCTGGACATCTGTTCAATAAACATCCAGTCATTGTCTCGGTATAGCTCGAGTTCGAAGTCCTACATATTTCCCTTTATTTCCAGCTATACTCACTCATATAACATGTTTTTGTGATGGCACTATTATTATCATTGACAGGCTATTAGCAACATTCCTACGACTTGTTGCAGAGTCTCCGAGATACACCAAAATATCTCCACTGAGTCCCGCCAACGTTTGTCACCTGTCAAAATTGTCGTTGCGCATTTGTTGCGGCCACCTCCGCTGCAGGGGTCCGATGCCCACTGGAGTCTCTGACATTATGTATTACGATAATCCATAAACAAGTGGCGGTGCAACTGGATTGTACAGCCCTCAATCCCACGTACTCTCCGCCAAGTTGTCAAATCTGAGTAGCGGAACGGACACACTGGACTCAGAGAAGTATGAGGATGTATAGATGCAAAACGGCACCGGCAAGGAGCACCCATGCTGCTTTCAACTTGAACACATTAATGGGGTCATGGTAACCGTATAATAGTCGTTGCCATCGACTAGACCCGAGTTCGGTTCTTGTTTAATGTATTTTTTGTAGTCTGTATAGTATTGTTGTCCATTAGTATTCAGATAAACTTAGAGTTCCGACAATTAATACTTCCTAGTCGGAAATTATACCTGACAAAGGGCGTGAGAAGCACAAAGAAGATGAATATAGACTCATGCGCTCCAAAAGTCACACTGCGGGAAAAGAGGATAACATTTGACATGTGTCCCACCAGTGAACGGCTATTGGCAAGCATCCCACTATTTGCCGGAGGCACTGATCCAATCCGAAGATGGCAGACAACCTCGTTCAATTTTATATAAATACTGACTCCGTCTACCATCCTTTCTTCAGCAATCCTTGCTTCTTCAATCACATTCTCCAATTACCACACACCCTCACAACATGCCTTCCACCGTCACCCGAATTGTCACCAATATGCTTCTTTCCTGCACAAGAAGCCACAGTGAGGTAAGTTATATTGCACAAGAGCTTACTTGATTTAATCGTTTATAATATAGATCTCTTCCGACTCTACATCCTACAAGCACCATTCCTACAAAAAAGGAATTCAAATGATTGAGAAGGTGGGCGGCTCCATGATTTATGTCTGATCCCTGGCTAATGCTCTTTGCTCAGGCTGAAATGCTGGACCTTGAGGACTGTGCTTGGATGTAAATTCACCCTCATATATGCGGGAAACACATTCCTCCTTTTCTCATTGTATGTCATCTCTTTAAAATATGTCGTTCTCTGGAGTAACCTTCTCCCTATTAGATTTCTAGACAATTGTTTTCTTCGGGTCTCATCATAATCCCTGCCAGCATCACCACTGTAGTCAAGCATAAAATGTACAGTACCGTATACCCCACAGAATATCTGGACTTTTCACAACCATCTGATACATACCTGTATTTTACAATCTCGCTATTTATATATCAATCCTAATTTTTACTTGCCTGAAAACCAAAATTGTGTTAATGGGATATACCGGAAGCTTACAGCGCTTTCGGGTACCGATGGCGGAGTCCGAAATTGACCCAATTTGGTCAAACATAGAAAAGAATGGGCTATAACTTGCGATCCGCTGCGACTTAAGACACGATTCTTTTAGGGAATCTTCTTACATGTACAATATAAGAGTCTAGCACATTATTTGTCCTTAATACAATGTTTTAAAAAATCGCTTAAATCCTGCCAAGCTTCAGAGCTTATTGCAAGAATATCCTCTGCAAAAGCCCCTGGAAAAGCTTACTAGTCACGGAAATAACTCAATAGGGATCCTAATAGCAATATATAAAAGCACAGTGGGATGTTTTTTTAAGGACAACCTGACGCAGCATCCTTTCATCGTCACTGAGGTCACATCAGCTGTCACAGTGCAGTTTTCTTCCCCTGACCTTCCACACCGTCTCAACCTTGTTACAACTGGATGGCTAACAAAACAAAACCTCCTGCTAAACCTAAAGCAGCTCTAAAGATGGGCCAAAAGGCCGATCCACCTCCTACTC